ATATAATTAACCACCAGGTGAGTCTACATCAGCCCCTGCCTCATCTCTTCAGAGAGGAGCATAGCAGTCAGACAACCCATGTGTTGCCAAGACACTAGGGCAAACCAGGCTTGCTGTGGCTTGAGAAGCTACCTGACATGGAGATTCAGGCACTCAACAAATTCTAATTGACCACATGCCATTATCAGACACTGTTCTAGGTAAGAGCTGTAAGCAGAAGATAGAAGGAAATGCTATGGGTAGTACCCTGATTTCAATAAGATTTCTTGCAATTTTTTTCATATTATTGTTATTTTTTTTTTTTGGCCGTGCTATGCGGCTTGTGGGATTTTAGTTCCCCAACCAGGGATTGAACCCGGGCCCTCAGCAGTGAGAGCATGGAGTCCTAACCACTGGACCACCAGGGGATTCCCTCGTATTATTATTATGGATAACATGAAGAAATGTGGGCCGAATGGTACAGTAAGGAGGATACATAGCTAATTGTTCAACCTACAAAGGGTATTGATCAGTTTCAGTCCGGATGGAGGTTTCCAGTGTGCTCTGTTTTTGGCCCTGTCTCACTCAGTTCCCCCCCACCCCGCAAATTTACAAAACACTGATATAAAAACACCCATAACTTTCTATATTAACCAACTGTTAAAACTTTGCCATAGTAGCACTCACACTCTTTCTTTTTTCTTTTTTTAATTTTTATTTATTTATTTTGGCTGCATTGGACCTTCGTTGCTGTGCGCGGGCTTTCTCTAGTTGCAGCGAGCGGGGTCTACTCTTCGTTGTGGTGCGCGGGCTTCTCATTGCAGTGGCTTCTCTTGTTATGGAGCACGGGCTCTAGGCAGGCGGGCTTCAGTAGTTGCAGCACGCGGGCTCAGTAGTTGTGGCTTGTGGGCTCTAGAGTGCAGGCTCAGTAGTTGTGGCACACGGGCTTAGTTGCTCCGTGGCATGTGGGATCTTCTCGGACCAGGGCTTGAACCCGTGTCCCCTGCATTGGCAGGTGGATTCTTAACCACTGCACCACCAGGGAATTCCCCACACTCTTTCTTTCTAATACACACAAAGAACATGCTTGTTTTGGCTGAATCATTTGAAAGTAACTTGTAGACATCGTGATACTTCACGTCTACAAACCTCAGCAGGCATCTCCAAAGAACAATGACATTCTCCTAAGAACACAATACCATTATTATAACCTAAGAAAATGAACAATAATATCATCAAATACACAGTGTGTGTTAAAATTTTCCCAATTGCTCTATGGCTTTTTTTTTTTCTTCAGAATTCAAACAAGGTTCACATATTGCATTTGATTACATGTCTTTTTAGTTTCCTAACCTAAAACAGTTCCCCTGTCCTTTTTGTCTTTTCATCAGTTTGATCTTTTTGACGAGTCCAGGTTATTTGTCTTGTAGAATGCTGGATGTATCTGATTGTGTCCTCATTATTAGATCTGGGTTAGACACTTTTGCTACAATGGTTGATGGGTTGTATATTTCTTATTGCTTCCTATCAGGAGGTAAATGATACCAGGTAGTCCCACTACCAGTGATATTACTTTTGGCCACTTGATTAAGATGGTGTCCACTGGGGGAAAAAAAAAAGAAAAAGATGGTGGCCACCAGAGTTCTCCCTTAGAGAAACATTTTCCCACTGGTAATTAGTAAAAGTCATCTGTGGGACGGATTTTGAGACCTTGTTAATATAGTTTCCTAAAAATCTGCCACCCAAATGTTTAGCATCCACTGATTATCCCTGTTTGAATCTCGATTTTCTAAGTCTACCATTTCTTTTACATTTATCCGGCAGCACTGTTCTACAGAGAAAAGCATCCTTTCTAGCCCTTCTCTTTCTCTGTCCGTGCTTTGCCGAGTTTTACTGTGGACTAATGGATTGTTTTATTTTGATGCATTAGAATCCATTACTTCCTTATGCTTTCTGTTGCTCAGATTGTCCCAAGTTTGGTCATCCAGCTGGCCCTATATCCTTTTGACATGACCCCATTAGTCTTTAGTCACTTCCTTGTTTCCCGGCCCAACACAACATCCCAGGCTCACCTTGTACTTTCCCTTTCATTTCTCCAGGGAGTCCTGGAACCTTTTATTGGAGAGTAATATTTAGAAACCAAGAAGTGGGTGCTAGGTCTGCTCACCTAATATTTTTATCAATGATTTTAATACAAGGTCAAGGATGCTTATCAGATTTATAGATGACTCAAAACTGGGAGAGGAAGCCTAATGTATAATAGAATCAATATTCAAAATGACCTCACTAGGATGAAATCTGGGCCAGAACCAATAGATTTAAAGGAGATCAATACAAAGTCTTGTGCTTAGGTTGAAAAAGTTAATTGCATAATTTCCGGTTTGGGGGAATCCTAGACCAAAGTCGATATCAAAAAGTAGCTCTGGGGCTTCCCTGGTGGCGCAGTGGTTGGGAGTCTGTCTGCCGATGCAGGGGACGCGGGTTCATGCCCCAGTCCGGGAAGATCCCGCATGCCGCGGAGCGGCTGGGCCTGTGAGCCATGGCCGCTGGGCCTGCGCGTCCGGAGCCTGTGCTCCATGGCAGGAGAGGCCACAACAGTGAGAGGCCCTCGTACCGCAAAAAAAAAAAAAAAAAGTAGCAGCTCTGGTTGGTTGTTGACATGTACCAGCAGTATTCCATGACTCTCAGGCTGCATTCATTCATTCATTTGTCCAGCCAATACTTACTGAGGGCCTACCATATGCCAGGCACTGTTCTAGAGGCTAGGGATGTGTTAGTTCCCTCTCAGTCAACATTCTTGGGGGTGAGAAGGTGGGTAGGGAGTTCAGACAATGAAGAAAAACCACAACAAATAAATCATATAGTGTTTTAGATGATGAGCGCTTTGAAGAAACATCTCAGGGCAAGGGGAATATTGGGGGAAGATCTGATTCTTCAAGGTTATCTTTGAGGAAAGATTTGACAGAAACAAGGGAATCAGTCAGTTTCTGGGAAGAGTGCTCCAGGCAGAGAGAGTAGCCAGGGCAAAGGTCCTAATACAAGAGTGTTCACAAGTGTGCCTGGGGTAGAGTGAATGGGGGAAGAGCAGTGGATGATGCAATGGTGGTAGGGGTGAGGTAGCCTAGGGCCTTGCAGACCACTGTAAGGAAGCACTGGAGGGTTTTGAGCAGAGGAGTGCCATGACTTGACTTTGGTTTTGAAAAACTCCCTCTGGCTGCAGAGTTGAGAAAAGATTGTAAGGGGCGCAAGGGTGGAAGAAAGGAGACCAGTTAGGCTGCCCTTGCAGCACCCAGGAGAGGGCAGTAACTGGGCCCCCAGGAGGCGGTAAGTGATCAGACTGTAGATTTGCTAGTGGACTGGATGTGAGGAGCAAGTGAGAAGAAAGGAATTAAGGTTTTTAACCTGAGCAATTTAAAGATGGACTTGCCATTAAATGAGATGGGAAAGGCTCACACAGATGGAGCATGTTTTGGGGAGGGAGAAGGGAGAGATCAGGAGCTTGGTTTGAGACCATGTTGAATTTAAGATACCTGTCAGAAAAGAGAGCCTGGTAGAAATGTTGAGGCCAGTTGGAGTTTAGGACAGAGGTCCTAGCTACAGACAGAAACATGGACATCACTGGCTAAAGATGGATTGACACCATTAATAGCAGCAAAGTGTCCCAGGCCTGGGCGATGCTGGAACTTTACAAGTAGCTGGTGCTGCCCACGTCCCATGTGGAATTCTGTGTCCAGGGCTGGGAGCCCCTGTAAAAGGGGTACTGCTGGCCTGGACCATAGCCATAGAAGGGTATTGGGATGGTGGAGGTACAGAAATCATGGAAGCTTGCTGTGCATGAGGAGACCTGGGACCACGTGAGCACTGTGCCCACCCACCCTGTGGGATGCCCTGGGAATAGGGTGAGAGCAAAAGGTGCCAGCTCTGAGAAGGCTAATTTTGGCTGGGGGTGAAGAGCCATTGCGGCTAATTCCTGGAGGAACTCTCCCCACTGCCATGGAAATGACTGGCAGAGGTTTTCAAAGTCCTTTTGACTTGAACTACAGGAAGAATTACACTTTACTGTGATCCTGTGCACACTTAGGAAAAGTTGAAACAAGTTTCCTAAAGCTTACTTATCGATAATTTCTATGGTCATTGCACTTTGGTATCTTCCATTCTATTTCTTTTTTAATGCTGATAGGGATCCACTAAATTGACTTCAGGATCCACTAGGGGATCCAGTCTGCAGTTTGAAACCCCTGGTCTCAGCACAACTGAACTCCACCCCTGGGTATTCACACTGCAGGAGGATTGAGGGTGGGTGCCTCTGGAATTCCAGCCTTAGGGAGTACTTTCCCCTGCCAGGCTACGTGCAGGTTGTGGAGAAGGTCCACCTCCTTGGCAGTACATTAAGTCCTATTATCCCACTTAAGCTAATCTTGCCCGGATCCCCCCATCCGAGGTTTGGCTTCGTGCGGACAGAATTCCAAGCGTGGATGACCCCGCAGGGTACCTAGATTAAGTGTTAAGCCTCTAGTGAACACTCAAGACCTAAGGTGGAATGACCCGTGCAGAAATTAGGTGCAGAAGCAACTAGCCCCGGAGTCTACCAGCTCGGCGGAGTTCACTTGGTTACGGACAGTGGGTGCCAGGAGCATTGCGGGGGGACGGGGGGGCGCGGCAGGGATAAAGGGAGAAGACACGGGAGCGCAGTGTAGAGACCCAAACGTTTTCCCAAACGAACGCGCTGAGGGTCCTAGAGGAGCCGGAAGGGGCCGGGGCGGCTGTGGGAGGGTCTGAGAGGTGGGGGCGGGGAACTAGGGGTCTGATTTCCTCCGTGCCCCCGCGCTCCCGCGGACTCGGCTGGTACTGATCCCCGGGCTTGGCCCCCTCCGGACGCGCACCAAGCTAGGTGCACCCAGCTGGCGCCCCTTGAGCCTCCAGCGCCCAGGAAGGAGGAAGGGGGAAGGGGTGGGTCGGGCACGAGCTGAGCAGGGAGAGGCTGGACTAACCGCCCAACTTCCTCCTTCAGCCCCTCCCTCCCGCACTCGCGGGCGAGCTTCGACAGAACGGAGCTAGTGGAAGACCGCGGTGCCGCTGGGGGCGGAGGGGCCAGGGTTCGCAGCAGCCCACGTGACCCCATTTCCCACCCGGTTCCAGCCCCCAGGTCCGGAGGCGGGGGCCCGGCGACCGACTCCCGGGCCGGACTTCGCGGTGGGGCCGCCGCCCGCGAGTCCTATAGAGCCACCTGAGCCGGAGCCCGGAGGACGCAGTCGCTCCTCGCTGTCCGAGTCCCGCGCGCCGCGATGGGCCGGGGGAGCCGGCCGCCGCCGCCTCTGCTGCTGCTGATGCTACTGCTACTGCTACCGCCGTCTCCGATTCGGGCGCTCGCCCCTCGGATCAGCCTGCCTCTGGGTGAGTGCTGGGGCGACCCCGCGGGGGACGCGGGCTGGGGTTTGGGGGAGGGGAGGCGGCCGGAGAGGTGCCTCGCGCAGAGGTTGTGGTGACAAAGGAGGGAGGGAGGGAGGGGGTCTGTCGGAGGCTTGGGGTCCATTAGGACCCCTCCTCCTTTCTGAACGGTCCTGGGAAGGAGGGAAAGGAGAGGGGAGCTGTGGGGCCGCGGGCCCCTTTCTTCCATTCTTTTTAATGGACAGGGAGGGGATCTCTCGCCCGCTCTGTCGCCCGGGCTCGCCCCTTGGTAGGGCGCCCTTTCGGCGGTGGCGCCCCCCCTCGTTCCCCACCCCCGGTGCTGGCTGCCCGCTGGTCCGCCTGCCCATCTGCTTGTCTTTGATGCTGACCAGAGCCAGCCGCGGTGCCCCCACCCCCGCCCCCGAGGGCGGCGCGGGGTGGAGGGGGCCTTGGTTGCCGTCCCATAAACACTGGGGTCTGGTATTACAGCAAGTCGCAGCAGGACTCGGGAACCGCGGCGGGGCGGGTGCCCCATTCTGCCTCCGCCTCTTCATCCTGGTGGGCCAGCGCAGCCCGCCCCCACCGCGCAGGCTTGGTGGGATCGTGGGATCCCCCCAGGGCCTGGGAGCGACCATACTAGGGATGGGGGCAGCTCTGGGCTCCTAGACTTCCAGGCCCTGGGAAGGACTGCTTCTCAGAGTCACCCTGGAGTACCATCCTCATTGGCCACGTCCCTCGCCTGGTGCTCACGTCTGCTTCTCTGGCCCCCTCCCTTCCAGCCCTCCACTCTCCCCTCTCCTTACCAACCCCCCCCCCCCGCCACTTTCATCTCGTTGCTTTTCCAAGTCTTTGAAATCAGAGGGACCTGGATTCCAGTCCCATTTCTGCTACTGGGCAAGTGAGCCCCTTTTCCCTGTGCCCCAGTTTCCTCATCTGTAAAATGGGCACTGTCATAGGTATTTTGCAAGGCTATCTTAGAGATTTCATGAAACCGGGTGTATTACTAGGCAACATATATAGATGCCCAATAATGTTTCTCCAAGCCCTTTAACTTGTTGGTTGTCACACTGAATGAATTAGAATAAAGGATGTATAAATTAGTGTTTACAGACTAAAAGTGTACCAGCCTTCCTTCTCTTTACAGCATCCCACTTCTAAAAGCATTTCATTTACAAAAGGAAGGAGTAGCAGAATCCGTACTTAAATTAAGTCAGGGCCACTAGGGAAAACCCTACCTGAAATATTGCAGGATAATACTGAGAAGATGGCCTGGGTTCAAATCCTGCCTCAGCCACTAGGTAACCCTGTGACCTTGAGCAAGCTACTTAACCTCTCTGGGCCTTGATTTCCTCATCTGTAAAATAGGGATAATGATGGCACCCACCTCAAAGTTGTGAAGGTTAAATCATTTTCTGTTTGAAAAGTGCTTAGGGCTGGGCTTGATACGTAGAACCCGCTTAATAAGTGTTAACTATCATCATTGCTATGTGTTAAGCACAGGCTTCATTCTGGCATATCCTGCCCAGAGCTGGGGTTTGTTAGTTTGACCACAGCCCCTTGGGTGCTCCAGCTGGGTAAGTGAAGATAACAGGTGTATCCGGACCCAGGCCTGCTGCCTCGCTACTCTTTCTGTTGTGGCCACCACTCCCTTTGCCCTTAGACCCTCTCAGCTCTGCAAGAAGGCGAAGTAAGGGGGGAACAAAGGCTCTGATGGACTCTACTTCTGGCCCTGGGAAAGCTGGACTGGTTCACGGGGCCATGTCAACTGTAGCAGGTATTGTGTCCAACTCTGAAGCTGGCTGGGGACCACTCATAGTGTGAATGAAAGACAGAAGGGGGAGCTGTGCGGAGGAACTGAGAGGACCTGCTTCCTGAGAGCAGCTAGAACACTTGGTCATTACTACCCACTGCCCTGAAACCTGGCCCACTTCCACGTATTCAGCACCATGGCCTGGCCGTAGTACAGGCTACTGTCACACACTAGCACCCCTTGCACAGGTCAGGTGGTGCTATGGTCTGGATGTCTGTGTACCCCCAAAATTCATATGTTAAAATCCTAGCCCCCCAAAAGACTAAGACACTCAGGCTCACCTGTGAGAACCCACAGATGCACACATTTTGTTTATGGCACAGAGGTGCCCAGTTGAGGGGTGGAGGGCCTGAAATGCAGTTTATACTCTGCTTTCCAAGCTGTGGAGCCTAGAGAAAAAGGCCTTCCGCTCTCTTCTTGAGGCTGGGACTACCCAGAGGGGACTTCTTTTTCTAGTTCCACCAAAGCCCTGGCATCGTTTAGCAGCACCCCAGCCCCTGAACTCGTGAGCATGTATCCACACTTTGCGGAGCTGCACTGCGCAGCACCCAGAGTGCTCGCCTCCCTGGCCTCCCTCCAGGACCTTGATCCCCGCTGCCCCCCTCCCGTCTACATGCAGGGCCTCCCAGCCGGCTGGGAGCCCCAGAGGGGGATCCCCGGTGACTGAGCAGGCACGCCCTCTGAGCATGGCCGAGGCGGCTTCCTGCCTCATCCCTGGGGGCTCATCAGATGTTCCTGGCAGTGTGCCCATACTGGGCAAGCCCATGGTGACCAGGGGATGCTGGGCTTGAAGCCCCAGGCCTCTCCCTCACAGAACAGGGAGAGAGGCATGGAATGGAGAACACACCCCGCTTCCTGCCACCTGCCCTCCTGTACTGAATTCCCACCCAGGCTCTCCAGGGGCCCAGATACCTAGGGAGAATGGCCTGTGTCTGTGGTTTAAAACAAAATCCTTGGAAGTAGAGCATCCAGTTTGCATCTGAGGTCCTTCGTATGGAACCCTCATTACCGTTGATCAGCAGCAGATTCCTGGGGCCATGAGGAGGGGGTCCCCCACTTGTGGTCTCACCCAGTGGACAGGAGTGGGAGGAGGACTGGGGGCTCCAGGGTCAGCTAGGCAAGCAGTGGCCTTAAGAGGAGGTTTCTTATCTCTGTGAAAGGGACGCTTCAAAGAAGCGTGTGGAATTTTGGTTCTGTTGCATCGGAGACTGTGCAGTCAGGACAGAGGCCTTGCAGTGGTCAGGAGCAGGAGAGACGCGGAGTGGAAGCAGTGGGCCTGGGCGTGCCGTGCCTTCCAGCCTGGCCGTGCGGGCGGAAACCAGACAGCCTGCTGCTGTGCTCATGATAGTCATGTCGGGTCCCCTTATTTGGGCAATTAAAAGGAGTTACTAATTACCCCCTGCCCCAGAAGTGCCTGGCTGGAAGACTCTGTACACAGTGTTTCCAAACTAGACTGGATATAAATCCCTGGGCCTGCAAACCGCAGTCAACAAAACCCCATTGAGCAGAGAGAACAGCGCATTGGCCTGAATCAGGTGCTTGTCCTCTGACCTGGAGCGGGCGCCCAGGGTCATGGCTGCCCTGAGCAGCCCCATGCAAGCCACTTTAGAAGTCTTTTCCTGGCTGGTTACCGGCCTCCCTCCTTGATGTGGCCTCAGCTTGACATGAGCATTTGTCTTCAGCTCTGTCCCGTGGGCTGGCATCTTCATGGCCCTTCAGCGCAGAGCTGTAACTGTGGTGCTAACAGACGGCTCACCGCACAACCTGGGGCAAGTGCCCACCTCCTCCAAGCCCATTTTCACATTGGGAGTAATAGCAGGATCCATCTCTCAGGGTCCTGAGAGGATTACGTGAAATAATGTGTGTAAAGTGTTTGGCCCAGGTGCTACGTCCCCAGTAAAAGGTAGTGGCCACTCCTCTTTGTGGTGGAAATTCCCTGCCCGCCTTGCTGGGTGAGGTTATTTGCATCAGTTGGGTAGATACTGGTGAGTGCTGGCTGTACACAGGCCCTCTGCTAGGTGCTAAGACCTTCTGGCCAGGGAATGAAGTGGTGCAGACCCCACCCCCTAACCTGGGGTAGGAGACCAAGCAAGTCGCCCGAGGGCTGACTGGAGGCCATCGTCAGGGGTCCTGCTTAAGTTAGTCCACTTTTCAGGTGCTCCTGGTCCAGCTCTTTCAAAGTCCTCCTCTGCCCCGAGAACCTCCTCTGCCTGGGGCTGGACCGCACCTCTGCCTCCTCCGTGTCCCTGGTTGCCTCCACTCTGCCCTCTTCATAACCCACATGTAGCTGGGTGTTGAAATGCCTGTGTGCCAGCCCAGCAAAGCTCTGAGCTTGCACAACTTTTGGGGCACAGCTGGATACACCTGCACGTTCCTCTCCTAGACAGGGGAGACAGAGAGGATGGCACGGGGCCTGGAGAAAAAGCTGGACTCAGGTCATGTCCGTCACGCCTTCCTTTGTCCCCTTTCTTAGGGCCTGTGGCCCCACTCCCCCATCCCTGGGTGCTCAGGACCGGAGGCCTCTGATGTGGTCCTCCTTGTGGGTCGAGGGGGAAGAGGAGTGAGAGTATGTGAGACTCTCATGATCTGGGCTGGCCTGACCTCAGGAGCTCCTGCTGCTGCTTTTTCCTAGCCAGCACCCCCACCCCTACCCCTGCCTCTCCTCTTCCTCGCATTCTGACCTCCCTGTCCTGGCAGTGCTCCCCCGAGTCCAGGATGGAAAGTAGAGCCCTGTGCGGTCACCCTGGTCACTCTTCAGCCACCCACCACTCCTGTGTGACCGTCTCCACTATGGGGCAGGAACCAGCCCTTAGGTGGCACAGCTGGCGTCCTTATGTTTGTGTTCCACCATCCAGCACCTAGAAGAAGGTAGAAGGTAAGGTAGCAGGTATAGGGCTACTGTGGGCACCAGGCTTTTAGTATATTATTTCCACTTACATGGTAGATGGAATTATCCCCATTTTACAGTTAAGGTAGCTGAGGTTCAGAGAAGAGAAGTATCTTGTCCACGTCACACAGTTCTGCCTTGCAAGCCTGCGACCTGACCTGTTCTCCATGGGACTTGTTTGGTCTGCACTCATGGGTCCATCTGAGAAGCCCATCCTGACAGCTTAGTGGAGTTCAGAGAGGTGGGGGGCCTGTGGTGAGGGGGTTTCAGTGGAGATAATAGACAGTAGACAGAAACCTCTCATTTTAT